CCCCGGGGGTCCCCCCCGGGCGGCCAAACCCCCCCCGCCACTGCCCAACCGAGGTCCGCTCACCGATCACGGTGGGCTCCAGGTCCACAAAGATGGCCCGTGGGACGTGCTTCCCAGCCCCGGTCTCGCAGCAGAAGGTGGTGAAGGAGTCGTCCCCTCCGCCGATGGTTTTGTCACTGGGCATCTGCCCGTCGGGCTGGATGCCGTGCTCCAGGCAGTACAGCTCCCAGCAGGTGTTGCCCATCTGGACGCCGGCCTGGCCGACGTGGACGGAGATGCACTCACGCTGGGGAGGGGGAGGCAGGGTCAGATCCTGGCACAGCTCTGTCCTGCCACCCCGGGGAGGGCTCTGCCTGGTGCCAGTGCCACACAGCCACCCGCACAGGACCTGCTCCAGCCAGTGGCCCCAGGGAGCACGTTTTCCTTTGGGTGACCTCCTGTGTGCCCCTGAGGGGCCCCACACGGCTGTCATTGCCCCTGGTCATGCACAGGCACTGTGCCAGGCTGGGAGCCAGCTGTGGCGTCCCTCCTGCCCAGCACTTGCTGAGGGCCACCAGCCCCATGGACTCTGGCCGGGGCTGTCCTCCAGCGGTGTGGGGAGCAGAGCCTGGCCCAGCTCCCCTGCCCCAGCCACCCTGCCAGGTTCCCCAGTGGACTCAGCCCCTTCTCCATTGCCACAGTAACCCGGCAAGGTGCTGAGCTGATGCGGGCACATACTTAACCCATGAGGTGCAGCCAGCACAGGGGAATCCCCCTGCTTGCTGCTCCAGAGCCAGGTAAGCACTCAGCCTCCCAGGACAAGGGGACCTGGGGTTGCAGGGGCAGTGAGCGGCAGCCAGGGGAGGGCTGGTGGTGAAGCTCAGCAGTCTCTGATGCAGCACAGACTCCCTGGGTTACACAGTCCCAACCCCATGCTGCAAAACCCATGTGGGCAGAAGTGCTGGGGAGCAGGCTTTGAGCTGGAGATGTGCCTCCTGCGCTCCCGTCCCGCAGGCCTGCTCCGCTAACCCCTGCATCCTTCCTCCGCTAGCCCCAGCATCCTTGGTCCCCTACCCCTGCCATCCCCGCTCTGCTACCCCAGCATGCCCTGGGCAGGGCACAGATCAGCCTGGAGGTCCCCGGGGCTCTTCGCTCCCGTGTTCCCCGCCCGTCCAGCGCTCTGAGGGGCGATGGGGACCGCGCCCCGCTCCAGCACTGACGGGCGAGGACCACAAGGACTCCTGCCTCCTCCGGGTGGGGGGCCGGGGCAGCCTCAGCCCGGCGGGAGGAAGGGCTGCCCGGGGCAGGGTCCCC